CTGTAATTAAAATTGTTTTATATTCTCGTGCAATGCAGCACGAGACTTATTTGAAGAGAAAGCTACTCCGGAAAAATTAAAATACAAGAGCATGAGCATTTAACATTTTAATAAATAGATATATCGTAATTTTGCTCTTTTGCTATCCAGAAAAATCGAGAAAATATGAGAATTTTCTCGTGCATAATTAAAAGCTTATAAAAGCTACAGGAAAGTATCTAAATTCAGTTGTTTACTTACTTCTGTTATTGATTGTTGCGAATTCGCGGTGAGATCGGACTAGCTTTCTCTGTGTTTTTGAATTTGAGCTCTATTTATATTTTAGTAGTTTAAAATGTAACTACTGTGAGATATACTACGAAGATCTCTGAGAAAATTTCAGCATTTTGTTTTGTTTGTTGTGATAAGAATAAATTTTATTCACTTTTTGTCGGACTTGTGCATTCAATTTATTACGAACTTGTACGCATGCAATAATATGTAAACAAAAGTTGAGAAATTTCAAGTTAAGATGATATATTTTAGTGAAGTCGCGCAGTAAGATTAAAAATTAATACGATAATCATATATATTATATTGTTAAGATTTTGTATTTATATACTAGCAAATTTTAGTAAAAATATAATTAAAATTGTTGCATTTCCCCGTGCAATGCAACGCGAGACAAATTTTAAGAGAAACCTATACCGGAATAGTAAAAATACAGGAGCATGTGCATTTTACATTGAGTATCACAGTAATTTGTATTGAAATTGAATAAATGTAATTGACCGACATGTTAGTTTTAACTTTAATTCCAACCTCTTATTGCTTTCCAAAAATCTTGAGAAGCAGAAACTGCTAGAAATATCTCGCGTGGAAGTTTGAAAACTATTTAAGGCCTGAGAGAGAGGGTCTGGGTTCAGCTGCTTAGTTACTGTTGATGCGGGTTGTTTAGTTCCGCGTGAACTGAGATATCAGCTTTTTCTTTAGATGAGCATTGCGTTGAATTTAAACGTTTTTAGGAATTTGAAGTTTAATTACTGATTATACTGTGCCATATTGTGAACACTTCTGCGAATATTCCATAGTTCTGAAATATTTCTTTTCATAAAAAGTTAATTTTCATTAACCTATTCTCAGACTTTTGTCTTTAATCTATTACGAACCATAAGGCACACAACAATATTATAGTATAGGATAGATTACTGTTGTTCTTTTCATGTACACAGCGATCTGTTTGCACTAAAATAAAATTAGATCATTGCCCAAATATGGCGTCGAGCACAGCATCGACGTTGCGCACTGACCATGTTCACGATTCGCTTAAAACTGTTAAAACTTTAACGTGCAATCAGACGTGAAGAAAATTAAAAAAGGGTTTTTTTTTCATGGCTTAAAAATAAGCCATTTTAAAAATTGGAAGTAGCAACTGGAAACAAAGAACAAGTGAACGAGAGAGAAGTATCTCACAACTCCATTGATTCGAGTTATTAAAAATGAGAAAAAAAAATTCCAGAATAATGACTTGACTACAAAAATAATGTTAGTCGAATACAGTCATCAACTAACAACAAAATCACCAAATTTAGAGTGCACATGATACTTCGTATTAGCTAATAATAATATATAGAACTTACAGTCACTCCTCCTCTTTCTCTCCATCAGTTCAAAAAATCTGAAAGGTAGCAGATGTTAACGGTCGCCCAATAGGTTTTGTTAAAGTCTTTGACGCTCTCCCTGAGTTCGCAGTCTACCAGTCTGTTTTCGGTTTCTTACTAAGATGGCTTTACAAAACTTTTTGTTTGTCTCTTTATCATTAACGATTTGTATGCTTACTTTATCTCTGAAATATCACATTCTTGGTGGTTACGCCACATAAAATTCGATTCAACGGCAAAATCACAAAATATTTAAGAACAACATACTTCCGAATTTCTGATAAACAGTCTCGCGCGCAGCAGATAAAAAAATTGCATTCCGTGCAGTGTTGCCACTGCTCGCTTTGAAATACTTGAATTTGTTAATCAAAAGTTTATTAAAGTTTTCGAAAAATAAGAAATAAATAATAAACCAATTCGAAATTCACAAGGTACTGGAGTCCCAAAATGCCATTTCGAAACCGATATCCTATTCGGGCAAATGTCCCTTTTGGGCTAAATATTCAAATTTTCATCCATTTTACATGGAGCATCAACTTAACACACAGTAATCAGTGATTAAAAAGTCCTTCAAGTGAAAGATTTTTTTCTTAACTTTGATCAGTTACGATTATAAATTTTAAAGAATTCAATCAATATTTTCAATCGTTTGGAAAATTAAATAATGCTTTTTTGAACCTTAACTCGCCGTGTTAATTGCAGCAATCGCACAAAACACATAAAAAATGTAAATTTAATAATAAAAATAATCTCACGCAGTAATATTATAAACCTAACATTTTAACTCAGTTAAAATATAACTTAAATTTCCTCCACTATGAATCTATATATAATAATTTTAAACAATAACCATACAAACATTCGATATTAAATCATTTAAAAATAGCTACACCCTTTTCTAGTAAGCGGTGTAACCAATAATACGTCATAAAAAGGCGTATCCTAGCCTGAGTCAAGTAAATAAAGTCTACACTTTGTGCAGCACCTTGGTTTTAGCACTATGAAACTTGGGAGTGGATCCTACTTATGATTCTTATTTAGAAATTGTTTTTGTTTCTCTTAGATCATTATAGCAACGTAATCATTTTTTATTATTATTTAGAAATCTAGTCGTTGTTATTATAAGTCTTTATTTCTTGTTAACTGTTGATCAATTCTGGAAAAAATACCAACCTTATGATGAGAAATATAGAACATACTAATAAACTTCATTTGTGCAGATTATTTTCCGTCTAATTGCTTGGTTAATTTTTTGGGTACAAAATGAAAACAGCAACTTTATAGTACACCAAACAGTGGCATTATTACATTTTAAAAAACTAAAAATAGTAGATCTTAATAGTTATAAAAATAAGAAACACACTCAAATACATATATGTCAACATGATTGTAAATATATATTGCTATCAGAGAGAATATCTACTGAGAAATTGAAACAGCTAGTTCTGGTTGTCGTTCTATGGGCATTCAAAAAATATTCTAGACAGATACAATGCAATAAGAATGTTTGTTACGATATGTACGTTTAAGAATAAGTTACATAAGGCATCGACAATGTTTTTAGCTGCGGGTCAAAGTAGTTCTTTAAGATGACTTTACTTTCCGGGTCAGTAGCATTTTCATTTTAAAACAGTCTTTTTTGATGAATAATAAAATACATTTTGTTCATAAAATAATTACAACACGCATTCAACTTTAAACATGAATAAAATTATATTATTATTATAAAAGCAAGCATAACTGAACGAAATTTATTTTTTCCGTTCGATATGGATGACTCCTCTGATGATGAACTTGCAGTTAAGATTGGTTTATAGTTAATCGTCGGGTGCTACTTTGGTAGACGGTTGCACGGATTTTTGGCGATTTACATTGGCGCAATTGTTGGCGCGGTTTTTACAGTTGTCAGCCATCTTGAAAAATGCTGTTTTTACGTATTTCACACATAGTAAAGTATTCGAAACTTTAAAAAAATAAATATCGTTAAAAATAATGGATTAATTTTTTGTTGAAAACGTTGTTTTCATTAAGATGGCTGACAAATGTAAATAAATACATTTACTAAGAGTATAAAATGCTAAAGTAAGGTTAAATTATTACTTTCATATAATAGAATAAAAACATTGCGCCAACATTTAATTGGAATAAAATATTACTTAAATTGAATATTGAATTGAAAACATCATACCATCAATTTTAAACATCAAAGTTTAAAAGAATTAAAATTTTTCAATTTCTAAACACCTGAAAAGCAAATGTACAAAAACATTTCAATATGAATGAAATCGTTTTATTCTTTCCAAGCAACAAACAATTCGTAAATAATAATCTTGTTGCCAAATCAGGAAACAAAATTTTTTGACACTTCAGGTTAATACGTATGACGTCATGATTTAAATTTAATGTAATATAACAACTTTTTCTTAGTATCAATAAAAGAACTAACGTGGCAATAACATAGCGTGTCAGTTATACTAATATGAACCTAAAACGTTGCCAGCAGCACGTATTTATTTAAAATGCTGGCATTAACAAAACAGCTTCGACATAAAATGACGTCACATGCAATGGCGAGCTTTCTATAGCGTCAGAATAATGATAATATGTTTAATATAAACAATGATATTTTTATTTCATATTTTGTAAAACTTACAAATTTTTGAGAAACAAACTCTACAATTTGAAAATGCAACACTTTTCGAAGTAAAGTATTTTTATCTCTATCGCGCGAAACTGTTGCCACTCGGAAAAATGAGTGCGAAAATGAATTTTTTCAGAGTTTATAATTAATATCTCGGTTGAGTACGAAGTTAAGTCGTACGAAGGTGAGAGTATTCGAAGTGGTTTCCCCGGATTTTTGGAATCCGAAGTAACATATTAAATGTTTGGCAATGCTACTTTTATTTTATATTGTGTAAAACGTACAGTTTCGTTTTATTAACAAACTCTATTATTTGAAAGCGTGGAGTAGCAACACTTCTCGAAATAAAGCAGATTTATATCTCCAACTCGGGATACAGTTGCCACTCGGAAACATGAGTGCTAAAATTAGTTGTTATATTTAATATACCGGTTGATTACAGTCGCACGAAGATGAGAATGGTCCAAATGTGGCTCTCCAAGATTTTTTGGAATCCGGGGGTACCTCTCTCGAAACTCAACTCCCCGCCGTTCGCTAGGAAATGATGCCACAAACAAACAAAGAGACAGACGCGCACAGCTTTCAATAGATTTCTTTTCACTTGGGGGCGTGGGATAGAAACTTTACTTTTATAACTTATCTTTTTTGCTTTACGTGCCTTCATTAATAATGCACCTGAAATAATTTTAAAACAGATTCATCTGCGATGTAAAAATAGTCAAAATTTCTGTCGCCTTGTTTAAATTTCATCAAAATTTTTCAAATCTATTTATTAATTTATGTGATATAAATCGTTTGATTCGTCATTAACTAGGTAGTAATAGATAAATTATCCTGTTTCATCACTTTGGATAAATCAACACTTCGGAAATAAATTTGTAAGGTAGGTTTTTCAGATGTATTATTAATAAAGTTCCTCTACATATTTCTCCTAATTCTAAATACTTGTTTTGTTTTGATATTTTATGAAAGAAGAAACTAAAAGCGCTATTAAAGAATATGCTAGTAACTATTTAATAAATACAAATATTTTAATACTTTTAAAAGTCTTAAATAAACTGGGAAAATCATTTTCAATCATAATTATTAATCAATAATTTCTGTTTAATACAAAATATGGATCTCTTCTGTTTTGGGGACCGAATTCCGAAATGTTTATTATTCATGTATATATGAAGGTATACGTTCGTGTATGCATGTATATGTGTATTTGCTTAGGTATTTTTGTGTATAAGCATATGCATATATACATGAACGCATACATACATCATACGGGTATACATGCTACATATATTTCGGAATCCGATCCTGATAACAGGAGAGTACCTGAAACATTTCTGTGATTATTTTGGAGCATTTGCAACTTATTTCAATGAATATTGATTATACGCTTACATAAAATACTTTCTGCTTTCTTTCAGTATCATTAGGTATTTGTATGATTATTTCCGCTATTCTGGCATCTTAGTCATTTAATCAATAGCATTAACAAGTTATTGCTTAAATGATTATCAAACACCACCTGCACAGATTGCAAGCAAACACCTATAATCCAGTAATGATTAACAAATGCAAATATCGGAGGCGTGGAATCAAAAATTTGATGGTCAAATATCTAGCTTGATAAATGACAAAAATCTGATGTAGATGCCACATGACTTCCTTGCACCTCATTTAAACTTATTTTCCCGATTTATTCTAATTTAATTAAACTATATCCCCCGCAGTAAGTTGAAAATGAGACAAAAAATTTCAAATTTTGTAATTAAAGTTCCCGGTCAATTTTTATCATCAACAGAGTCAAACTTCTTACATTTTTATTTTTTTCATTACAAGTATAGAATATTCCAAAAAATACATAAAGGAATCCAGAGACGGCAATAAAATTTAGATTTCGTTATTTGCAGAAACTGAATTTTTTTGAAGAAATGAAAACTTTGACATTGCCGAAACATGAATATTTTATTCATTTAAAACACTTCTGTAACTGAAAGTATATCAATCACTACGGCCAACGTAGTGATTATTACAAAAATAAAGGCCAGGGTAAGACTTCTGTTCCGGGTAAGACATATATACAACCGATTGCAATAAAAATGGCAGGTGCACAGCTATAAATTATAGCAGTCCCACGCAACAACATTTCAACGTCCTGCGGCTAATCGTTTTTGAGTTATGCGAAATATATACATACATACGTACAAGTACATGAGATGTCGTGGAAAAAACTGTCTTTTTAATCCGTTAATTAATTCCATTTAACAATCCGTTTTGGAAAAATGAGTTCTTTATTCTGTCTACACATACAGACGTCAAGCAACAAAATTGTCCAAACGAATTCGGGAATGGACAAAAAAGTTAATTTGATTCGAAATATGGTGCCTAAAGATTTTCTGGATTGCAATAATTCTTTTACTTAGTACAAAGACGTAAAAATTAAATTATGCTAATTTTTTTTCCTAATAAGCTCATACTCTGTTAATGCTTCTGAAAAATGAAACACTGTACAAAAATAATACATATATTAGTTACAGAGTAAAACTTGGTATTTGTCTTCTTTAGCGGCCTTAGTGAGAAAGTTTATTCGTAATTGCGTTCTGTAGATAGAGGGATTTTTTCACTGTAAAACACTTATTATGTTACGTTACTTACGTTTTTCATTCTTGCATCAATGGAAGGAAGCTATACATTATATATGCTGCAGGTTTACATATGTTGTTATTTTAAATAAATTGCTTGCTTAGTTTTATTAAATAAGATAATTATTTTATATTTTAAGTATGATTGGTTAAATTATGTTATTATTTTTAATAAATTGCTTACTATATTATATTAAATACTGCAATATATGCAAATTTCTATTAAATTCTTTCTCTCTATATCTATGTTAAACATCTTGTATAGATATTGAACAAAATGCTGGTTAATTTTTTACCATCATCTAGGATCAAGGAAGGTTCATTTAAGAGGCAGTCAGGCATAAAGCCTGTACCTTTATACCATCAAAGAAAATTATATATACATGAAAAGAGGGGTTCTGCAAGCGGGTTAAATTTAGCCTAATTTAAAATGGAAAATTGTTTACAGTAGTCAACTTCTTTTTCGTGTTGTTTACAAAATTTAGCAATAAATCGCATTTTCTTAAGCCCTAACTGTGCCAGCGCCGTTTTCTGTAGCCAAGGCTGCTACGTAATACAAGTACCGAATCCAAAACAAGAACTGCACGGCAAAGCAATATGTTGCCAAAGTAGGCAACTCAGAAATTTTACGAAAATATATTTTATCTGGCAATCCACTAAAGGGTACGCAAACTCAGGCCTTACAGTATCTATCTTCTCAGTGATGCCTATCTCCCTTAATAATTTCTTCTCACTGAGATTTATTTGATCGGGAAAATCATAAAAAGTTTCACTCTTTTCAAATTAACTTACTCTCAAGTTTCACGATTTTCGGTGATGGTCATGTCAGTCAGTCAGTCACACTAAGCCTCGAATATTGCGAAGTTCGCAACGCCACCAGCTTTGTAAAATATTACACTAAAGGCGCTTCACATAAAAATACATCAAATCAAATTCTCAGAAGTTAAATATAATAAACTTAAAAAAAAGAGGGGTCATTTTCTCCTATGTTTCAAAAGTCAAACCTGAGTCATAAGGGATTGGAATAAGATATTAGTCATAACACAGAAAAAAGAATACACATACAAACAAAAATTTTAAAAAGAGACAAACAATATAAAATATATAAAATTACAGGAGCGCATGTGTAGAGGTAGTATTGGGAAATTTAAATCACTTAAGGGGTGTGTATCATAAGGTTGTAATTCTGTATATTCTTGTAGTATTTTGTAATCAAAAAAGTTGAAATTTGTGAGATGGTTACAAGTTGCAGCTTTCTTGTAAAAATTTCTGTTGATTTTATCGAGAAACCTATCAGTTATTTCAATAACAAGGTCCTTCTGTAATCTTTGATTGCTCACGTAAAAGTGAAGGAGTTCTTAGCTTTCTACAGGTTTCTCTATCAGCCGCGATTTATCGTGTGAATAACACGATTTGTTCCGGCTCTCTCAGTTGGTATATCTGCAGGCTCATGACAATAGAGATTCTATAAATGTACACTAATTAATAATTTGGTTAAGGGAGGATACGGGAGGGACCCTCGTCACGTGAGCATCTGCTAGCCGTCTGATTGGTTCATAAAGCACATAGCATACGGAACAACAACAACAACAAAAATAAATAAAATAAAAAATAAATAAATAAAGTGATACATATGAAGGCATGACAAAACAATCAAGTGTTGGAATATTGCTATGGAAACATATCTATTAATTCAGAAATTTTAACACATTTTAATCCAAAATGTAAGGAAAATTAAAAAAATGTTTTTGATAATATTTTTATCATCTATTTCTATTACTTTAAGTAGCATTCTGCTAAAATAACAACAATAATAGTTTTATTTGTACTATTTTTTAAAATCGGGTGTCGAACGTAGTCAGATACATTATAGAGTTTGACATGCTGTACTAGCATTAAAGTAATTACAACCAACACTTGTGGCGATGAAACTAAAAGTAGCAGTAAAATTTAAATTGAAACTTAACCTAGTAGTTAAAGACTCCATAATTTAATTTAACTCGGAACTCACCTGCGTAACAATCAAATGTCGGGGTCAATATTGAAAATTGGAGAATTATAATCTTATCAAAACTGTTGAAACCTTCTTATACGGCCTCGAGAGGCAGAAACACTTGCTGTCTTACATTTCAAAATTATGGACTTAAATATTCTCTGACAGATTTGCATTTCTGATGGGGAACTTCTAGTAAAGGCTGAAGTTATAAATAGCTGGGTAGTTAAAATAACAATAAGCCTACAATCTTTTAAGATATTAATTGCAATTACTATTTAAGTTATAAGATATTAATTAAAGCGCGATTAAGCAAAATATAACTTGCGCAATGTGTGTCAAACTTGTAACTTGAGACATATTTTTTTTTCAGATTTTTGAATATTTGTGGAAATTATCAAATGGGTAAATTAACTCGAAAGAAAAACCGCAAAAGCCGTCGTACACCATATGAAAGGGTTCGCGATATTCCACTCACGAGAACAGAAATTGTTCTACATCGAATGTTCACTCAGAATGCTGACAACATAAATTCAGTTCAAAACTCTGAAATGTCTAACGCAATGCTGAAGGACCTCACCCGAAGACCAGACAGAATCATCACAAGGCAGATGTTAGCATCTTTGAATATTAAGACGCCTTCTGCAATGGACAGTTATTCGGAAGGTGAGGAGGATAAAGAAGATGCCAGTGGGCTGTCTAATGCTAAAAGGAAGAAGGTGGTTAATTCTTCTGGTCCTCGTAAGTCTGAGAATGACTACGGGAAACGACTGCAAAGGAAAGAACGACAGAAGTACAAAGATAGACCGAAAACAGCATGTGTTGATCATGTAGAGGATGCTTCGATAACAGGTTGGATGAATAAGGCTGTGCGTTCTTTTTCTTCTTTCATAGCAGGTTTTATGCCTTAGAAATAATTTTTTCCATTAGTTTAGCTCTTTATTAATTAATTAGATATTATACTTGATAATAAATGGAAATAAGTGCACCAGATTCCAATTAGACTCAATAAATATCACATTATTTCAGACTAGTTATTTAATTAATTAAAGCGAAACACTCGTAGCGAGACATCTAACTTTTAATTTAATTATGCAGAAACTTTCGCTCGAGGCTGTTTATAAATTGTTATATATTTAATTAAAACTAAGTAACAGGTTACTTCTCACACAAGAGAATTTTCATGAATGATTTTTCGAACGAAATTAATTCACACTTATATAATTTAACAGAAAAAGGTCAAACCCATAATGTTAAAGTTTTAAAACTGGTTTGCATGGTTTCGACGATACTTTCATCATAATAAATATAAGAAAAAGGGGAAATAAGTATGTAGGTTTTTTTTTAAATTTCTCAATAGTTATTTTAAATTTTGAAACCCTTTCCTTTCTTCTTTCCCACCTACAAGTCCCTGCCAAAAAAAAATTTTCAGTACCGTGCTTTATGTCACTGAGGTAGAAGCAGTATTTATGGGAAGTTTTTGTCACCTCTAGATGTAGAGCTCAAAAGTTCTCACTAGAGCGTGTTCTGCCTTCTGGCCACGTCGATGTTTTAAATCAACCTTACTGCGTTCGGCCCTTTATCTTATCTGCCCGTTAGTATTCGCCGGTGAAGTTTAATTAAGGGCCGACTCTGTGCGTTATTTCTGTACAGCTTCGGCTAAATTTTGGTTAGTTACAATTCATAAAATATCTTGTTTTCTACCTTAAGTTAAAGCCGAAGTGGAAGATTTAAGATTTCCTGTGAACCCTAGTGGGTCCTACTGTAATTATTCTCAAGTTAAAATAATAAAATATAAATAAATATTTTAACCCTTCTTTGGACTTTGTTTTGAATCTTTAAGAAGAACAGCGAATAGTCGCTTTATGGATTTCTAGTTCTAGTTGCCAAGGGCACTTAATTTAATTAGAGTCTTATATGTAATTAGACCTTTGCTCACATGTTCTTTGAAAATCCATTTTCCTATGATAATATGTTTTTCGAGGAATTCTAATTTTTTGTAACAATCAATTGCATGCCACTTTTATTCTGATTTTCATGAGATACTAGCACATTCATATGTTAGGTTAACTAATATTATACCAAATCGCGCTAGAAAGGGACAGATTCAAAGACTTCAAAGACTGTCTGAGGAGGACAGCACCATTTGTTGAACATGTTTTAAAGGAAATTGGTTCGTATTTGCTTTATAATTAAGAAACCAATGAATATCATGGGGGCCAGTATTTGCTAAAAACAAAACTAACGATCAGAAATCATATTTACGCGAAACCTCCTGGGACAGAACATCCATGATACCAAATTCTACAATTTTTCTTACAGTAGCTTTTCAAATAAAGTAATTTCAGGATAATGAAATAAAATTTGGGCAGCTTCAAAATACTTATATGTATTTCAGCTTTAAAGACGAAAAGCGGGAAATTTCTCACTCTTTCCTGATCTTTAAGTTCTTTAAAAAGTGTTTTCAAGGTACGGTATTTTTATTTCCTCTTTTTTGAAAAGATTAAATTTTGTTTTAATGAAACTGAAGTGCATGCTGTATTTATAAGTGAAATATTTATGTTAAAAATTACTGTACATGACGAACATGATTATAAAGCCATTTCTTTTCCCTCACCTATTTCTTCAGGTAAGCAGTTTCACTTAGAGTGGCTTCATGTCTGTATTGCGTAACACCTGGATACTTTAAGCATTAAGCAGGGCAAACTAAATCAGTCTACAGTCTATGCATATTAAATTTTTTTATAAGCTTTCACTCATGGTGATTAACTATGGTCGGAAATTTTTCATCCATTTTTAACCAATTCCTGATAAGCTATTTATTAGGTTCAAATTTTGTACTCACATGATTAATCGAAGACATTGTAATGTGGTAAATTGTAATGTTCATATAGCTGGAAAACATAACTAAACATAAATCACTCCTTACGTTTGGGTCTAGTGCACAAATGAAATGAAGTAGCGAACACAGTATTTGGAAGTTTTGCTGAATCTTCCTTGCGAACATTTACAAGTCAATATTAAAAGAATAAAGTAAATTTTAACATGTAAGTAATAAATAGTTTCCATTTGACGATAGCATTCATTTACTCCATACTTTTATTTTAATTGTTACTATTATATTTTCGAAGACTATCTAGTATTTTATTCGTACAAAATTGAAAGACATTTATTGATTTCTGTAACTCATAAAGGAAGAGAAGACATTGTATTATTAGTAATTATTTTTGAAGTTTAACGTCATTAAAGTTATCTCGAAATGAATGAATTAGACATAACAAAAACAAATATAACAGCAATGGCAATAACTAATGATGAATGTAACAGTACTAAATAAATTGTGAGGCACATAATTTTCCTTCAGTTAGGAACTTACAATCTCAAGTGTTGAAAAATCAAATTTTTGCTTTAAAGTAGCATATGTTATCAGGTTAAATGTTCCGTCTTACTTTCTTCGGGAACATGCAAGGACCTGACTCGGAACAGAGAGCTTACTAAAGCTATGTTCAATAACTGTGGGAAGTAGACAGGATACACAAGAAGGGTATACAAAACCCTTTATTTTCTCTATTTACAATAACTTCTGTATTTCGGAATACAAAGACCCACTACTTGTGGTCTAAACGTAAAAATATAAAAATAAAACTAAACTCTAATTTAACTAAAATAATAAACGTGGAAGATTGTCCTTATATTAACAGGAAGCCGTATGTAGTACAGAGAACTGTGAACACTACAATACGTTTAAAAATTATCAAGAGGATTAAAACCTCTGGCCTGGAAGGCAACCAGCAACTGAGTAAAACTTCTAAGGTAAGCGGCCTGCTTCGACTAACTGCTTCCTCTCTCTCGCTTGGCAAAAAGCCACAACTTAAGTACTTGGCGTTCGCCAGACAAATTTTGCATAAATAAGTTAACGCTTATAATTCTGGCCGGAAGTAGAAAATAAGAAGTGATAGTAAAGATTTAAAATAAAATAAACGTTAGTAAAACTTAAGATCCTTACATACTTCCCGCCAGAGTTAATTAGTTTGAAACTGAGGTCTAAAACGACCTTGTTGAAAACTTTTAGCTCTAGAATCTAACGCGAGGCCAATCTTTTACAAAAATGTTTCGCTAGAAACTAGAAATTTAAAAGAAAGAAATTTGTTTTTACAATAGCAGCTCAGCTCCCAGGACACGCAATTTTTTCATCTGTACTGCATCTAAACAGGAGCTTTTATTCAAATCTGGTTCCTTCCAGAGATCTGGAAGGAAAACTAGTTTAATGAAATGTTACACAATGAAATGGCAAGTAACATGTATAATTATATTTCTCTTAACATTCTTATTTCATTCATGACTATTTTAATTATCTCTCCCCGTGCTCTCTGACATGTGTTGTAAAAGAACACCAAACACGAATGTGTTTCTGTGTACGTGTTCAACACTTCCTCCTACAATCAAAACACTAACGTGTTAAAATTCAACATACCAAGACCTCGTAACACACCCTAATTTCAACTCTAAACCCTGAGGTACTATTCTGAAAGTGGCTAACTCTGAAGTGTAGCGTCAGAGAGCCTAACTACATTCATTCAACCTTTAACACATATTCACCATGATTTGTCTTTTTACAGTCACACGAATAAAAAATTTTTAACATTACTTTCACTTTTACCATATCACGGTATTTCTTAACATTTAAAATAACAGTTCACATTGTATATAAGAACATATTAACATGCCGTTAATTTTACACATTTGAAAACATACATTAGTAGTACATTGTTAACTTCTATTCTTTTCAAAGCAAGTGCCAATTCTTTCTACATTGAAATACTACATTTCAAAAAGTCTTTCAGACTAAAACTTCTTTCTTGCCAGAATGTTTTAAATAAAATTTATACAATAACTTTTACAATATTTAAGTCTTTACACATCGCTATTATACATCAACTTTAGTTTTACGCGCGAGTAATTGAAAAACATAATACCAAAATCGGTAACAACTCATTTCTCGCCCTTTTGGCGATAAAGGTAGACCTCGCATGAGGTAAAACTTCTTGAAATCTGCCACTTGCAGTAAGAATGAAAGATTAACTTAAGTTTGCAAAGTAACATAAAATTTTACTTATCTTTGTAATATTCGGACATTCCTTTTCTGGGCCCAGTCTTTAAAGGTAGCTGCAGATTAGTAGTTTGATTTATCCTCCTTCTTGTACGGGCTCGCCCTTCAGTGCTTTCCTCTGGAAGCTTCCTTTTTTCACCAGTTCGGTCGGCCACCCTTGAATACCTTCCTTTTTCGCCTCTGCTTGTGGTCTTGGCCGTTTGATGGCAGCTGGTCTTGGCGGAACCGGGAAACTTCTGTCGTGTTCCTGCTTGGACCTCGTTGTTGGCCGTTCAAATTTTCCTTGTAACTTTTCCTCCTCCGCCGCTGGTGGCCCTTCCGCAGTTCGGCGACATTTGCTGCGGAGAGTCCTGTCGGATGAGTAGATCTTCCGTTTTAGAGCCGGGTTTATAGTTGCCGTCATTTCTCCTGGCTCTCTTTGCACATACGTCGTCCTTCTCCCTTCTTCATTCTGGGGGTGTTCGTGAACTCTCTTTTCTGGACGGTGGAACGGCTTCTTTTTCTTGTTACCTTTAATTTTTCCGCGGGGAAATTTTCTTTTCACTTGCTCCTGCCTCTTATTGGCTTGCCCTTGTACTTGTCGTTTTTCCACCTCTGGAGCTTGTTCCCGCGGTGTCTGCCGTGCCGGATCCTGCAAAAGATCTGAAAAGATTTGCATTTTATTACGATCGATAGTAGGGCTTTGATTTGATCAATGTTTGCGGAGCAGGTTTCACCATTTCTGGCTTTTAACACTACTACAACAGCGTGAGTTATTTTTTCTATAACATATGGTCCTTCAAATCGTGGAAAAAATTTGGCAGTTTTATCTTCTGGTGCTGAAGAAAGTGAATGCTTAATTTTTAAAACTTCATCCCCTACTTTATAAGTTACTCCCCGTCGTTTCAAGTCATAATAGCTTTTGTTTTCT